GTCGGTGTAGTATTTCGTTGTCGGTGGGACAGGCGGCTTTCCTCTGCCCGGGTGGGCGTATTCATTCGCCATCTTGCAGATAGTTCAGATAGTTGAATGCAAGGAAGTGTCCCACAGTATGTGGGCTACACATAATCCACAAATCGTCTTTCGCTTTGTTGAATACATCTCAGTAATATTGCTCTTGGCTATTTCCCTACCTCCTAGATATCATTTCGGGCCAGACGAATCAGATTATTGGAGTCCCCGTCGTCAAGGACAGAGTCCGTATACGGTCGACTACTCTTGTATAGCTACATAGTAACTGCAACACTGTATTCTCACGGCCCCGGGGAGTTTACGCCTCTTCATTCTTCTACTTCATTATCGATGATTTAGCATTGCATTCCTTTTCCCCAAGACTTTCTAGTATTCGACGTCGCTACCCTCCTACATTCATTTGCTACCTCGCCAGAGTAATTAGGCGATCTTGGCAGTTAGTAGCGCGACTACTATTAGCCATACCCTACTTTCTTACTATATACATACACATGTAGCCACTGGGCCATCTTCTACCGGTATTTGTTAAAGCCACGCCTGCATAATCAAAGAGTGCAAATGTTAGGAGCTGATCTATCAGGCCACCCGTGGTGACAGAAACTTGGGTCTCTTTCCTCCTGCTTTCCTCTCCTCCCAGTCCGACTCTTTCGTTAGGAATCTCAGAATAGATTGTTTCTCCATTAGAATCTCCATTGTAGCCAGATTCCGTGAGCAAGCTATACGAAGTCTTGATGGAACATCTTCAAAGTCATTGATAAGGGAAATAAATGCATTATACATCAACATTGCCGTATAGCTTGCTGGTTTGCCTCCTATTCAAAGTGAATTTAGCGAGTTAGACCCATTGCGGTAACAAGAGCAAGAACAAGTATTTCCTTACCTTTTTTGCCGTTCGGCCGTCATCGAGCGGATTCAGCTTGGGCATTAATCAAGTCTTCTCGGAAGACGGTGCTCGCAGCTGGCTTTGCTTTAGACATTGTTGTGCCAGCTGCTCGAAGCACATTATTTTATCGTGATTTGTTAGAAAATCTGAGCTTGACAAGACCACGTAGTGGAGGTGTTCCGGCCAAACTATCATGGATACCTAGGCTGACCCCAGGATTGACGGCTCCACGACAAGCATCGGGATTTAGTGTTGGATTCTCCACTAAGTTTTGCTTTCCGTCCTTCATGAAAGGCTATTCACGGAAGTGAGCAAATATCCCACAAATTATCTGGTTCGCTGTGAGGAAAGACACTGCGGATGTGTTGAGAACCTCCACTATTGTGAGGCTACGTTGAATCGCACAGGCCGATTGTAGAAACGCATGTATTTCCCGGCAGCAACGATTCCGTACGCAGAGGTGCGATCCAGAGACACATTTCGCACATCAGCTGGGCTTTTTCTGGGATTGCGGATTGACTTTTCAGCCGAAGGCGTTGGTTTAGGCATCGATGCCGATGGGAACTGGTGTAAACAGCTCGGAACGCATATTCTCGATTGAAGACGTTTCTCTGAGTTCTTTTGCGACAATACCCTGCTCAGAGTTGGTCTTATATGGTGTAACTGAACGAAGGTTCACACTCACCACCAGTGGGGTAGGATGATTTCCAGAGGCCTGTGTGGGGGTGTCTGGTGCGGTGACACTCTCCATCTAATTCAACGTCAGTTGACTGGTTCCCACGGTACGAGATCTGAGTGCTTACCGGTGCAGTGTTTGATTAATCTGCCAGTGATCAGAGATGATAAGCTCAAATACTGAAGGAGATCCACATGCAATGACGGGATGAAATACTTGTGATTAGGGGTGTCCGTCCTATCGGTCGGCAAGTGATGGAAAGACGAAATGCTGGCTCGTTTTACTCCGTCCCGTTAGTACGGAGTTTGCGAAGCTTTCTGTTTGAGGCCTCCCTCAATTGCTCATGTTCGTTGGAGCTTCCATACTCGAACATATCCGGAGTGTGAAGCATTTCAGCACGCATGTCAACATGTATCAGGAGGAAGACCGCACATGTTGATGCATGTCCCGCCTCAGAGAGCAATGGCGCTCACGTGGACAAATCATAAGCTTGAAAGAAGTGAAATTGTCACTTTTTCATGATCATTGCTGAAATGACGAACTGTTTTGTGCTTTTGCTGGCGACGAAGTCACAGACAGGACCCAGATAGTCGAGGCATTAGAATCACCGAATTAGCTGTTAGGTAACCGCCTATATTTGTATATATTCCAGTCCAAGCATCCAAGCATGGACCCTCTTGAATACCGCCAAGGGGTGATTTCCAATGGGTAGCGTATTTGCCTCATGTTTGGCTTCGCAGTAACCACGCAAAGAGGTAGTACGATCGCACGCAACAGCCACCTGCGGGGGCCGACTCCTTAAACACTGCAGGGCGAAGAGCACGGAGGCTTCGAATCGACGTTGAAAACGCTTGACACCTTAAGAAGGTGTTTCCGCTGTCCCGTCGACCTGAGCGACGTTGATTGATCTTGTTTCATCTCCCACCATGCTCTGTCAAGAAGAAATTAGGGAGTTTTCATTCAAGAGACAATATCGCTTGTCTTCTTCCATTAGCAGTTGGCGAATGTTGCGGGCCATCAACAGCATGGCGCATCGCATAGCTCTCTCAATAGCGCTAGAGATATGCCTTGATTTCAGCGTGGGCAACTCCTTTACTCGTGTTTCTGCAGCCAACTCGCAGACAAAAGGCCCACCATGGCTCGCAGTTTGAGAGGATAGGTTTCTAACCGCTTGCCTTCAGTCTGGACTGGGCTTTTGACTTTTCCCAGAAGGCTCCTCAGGTACTTTGAATAGGGCGGATAACTGTCGAGCCATTCTTCAGCTTTCTGAAAGCATTGATAGAGCCGGAGCTCTTTTAGCTCCCTGTCATGCACCGAGCGATATTACTTTCAAAAGGAGATACTCGTGGCGAGTGATGTCCGATCCCAAATTCAAAGCTTCTTCCTGGCACTGGGCTTTGAAGTTGAATCGTACTACCTAGTCTGGTTTTGAGGGGCTTTGGAATTGTTCCAGCTTTTCTGCCCTTTTGGGGGGAGGAATCAACAGGTCGTTTCGGGCCGTCAGGCACCTCATCTCACACCGAGGTCAGAGGGTTGCCCAAGGTATTAAGCTGGCCGGGGTCTCAACTGGGAGGCCTCGGAAAGGATCTTCTTGGTGCAGCTGTATTCCATGAACCGATGAATCGCGTGGTCCTCTAGCGCACACGGCTTTTCCGGCTTGGTCTGGCAAAGAAAGTGGATACAGCTAACCATCTCCCCGCGATGAAATTGCTGTATTGGTGGTAGCGGAAAGGCTGTCCCAGATGTCGAATGTATGCGGTGTTGCACTTCCGAGGTTTGCCGCTTGCTTTGATGGCCACTTCAGTCAAGCGTTTTAAAATGGAAGGCGTGGTTGATGGCGAAAGATTTCCATTTTTGGATCCAACATTTGCAGCGGTGCGGTCGATGAGGGTAGCACGAAGCACCTTCTACATATACTAGGCGTTAAGCGGGACCAAATCGATAGTCAAGAGCCTTTGGTGATGTCCATAACTGTCTTTGTCCAAAGACTGCACGACTTTCCGTTCAACAACTTCCTGGAAAATTGGGCATAGGCCGGGTCTTGGATAATGTAAAATTTGCAGTCTCATCCACAGCAACCACAGCTGGTTTGTCACAGTTTCGTTTATCAGGTTCCACCTTCTCGCATCGGGCGAAGCTTCAAGAAAAGCGATATCTCGGTGGTTGATAGACGTTCGCCTCTGCTATCCTTTTCTGTGCTGTCTGTCACCCTTTTCCAGGCCTCTGTGAAGTATATTCCGCAGCTTTCAGGGGCGGTGGTGTTCGCACACACGCGCGCATTTTGTCACTATCACTCTATAGAGAAATCATCAGTCAGTCAAGGCCAATAGTAATATGAATGTAGTACTCACATCCACTTATCGGTTGTTTGTGTGTCATCTAGCCTCCCAGTGATCTCTTCGTATCTTGGTTATATGTCAAGGGGACCCATCTGATCGCCGTTGCTAGGCTTGGGCATAGTCTTTAATTCAAAGGCACCAGTGAGCGGGCGTGGAGATTTGATATAATAGTTCATATACACAAGACACTAGATGTGTTGGAACGCATCAAATTAGCATTAATGCACGAGGGTGATAGAGAAAGAGCGGAAGCGAGGAGCCATAAACAGGGCAAGTGGCCCAGGGCAAATGCTTCAGTGACCACATAATAGGGACCTTAGGAGCCTTCGGCAGTGACGAAGGGATCTAGTACCTGGAAATCAATAAAAATACTCAACGAATGAAGCAGGCAGAGACCTCAAGCTGGGAATTGAATAGGAATATGGAAGAGTGAAGAGAGAAGAGGGAGGAAAGAGGAAACAGGAAGATCAACTAAGGTAACCCCGGAGGTGCCTACGCACCTTCCTAACAGGCTCTATACAGTATATTTGATAAGAAAGGAAGGAGAGAAGGAGAGCAGGAGAGGAGGAGGTTCTGTTATTTCTGTACAATAAATAGCCTGTGGACGCCCGACCAACAAGGCCTCAAGACATCTGTGTGCAATATTTGCTCGGACTTCCCTGTCTTGGCCACTTTTATGAGGCCCGGACTCACTGAGTTGGCTAAGTTTGACTGGGGGTTTCAATACGCCAAAGCGGTGAATGGATGGCGTAGTCCTTTGTAATAGGAGAAGGTTGGATGCGCACTATGTTGCATCCTCCAAGCTGCATGTGCGGTTTATTAAAAAACACACGCGTTTGCATTTACCTTCCACAATCTCACCGGATGAACTCGAAGGGAGCGCTGTCCTGGCTGCCGGCGAGACGCTTTAAGAATGTGAGAAAGCCACCACCTAAACAAGCTAACGTACCCGTTGACCTACCTAGATACCTACATACGGAGTAATATGTACCTAGTTAGGTAGTAGGTAATTCATTATCCACAATCTGAGACTTGGATGAAGCCCAAAAATAAAATTAAAAAAATGCTCACATGCCGATTTGAACGACAGACCTCGTGATAGACTGGGAAATACTAGTCACGCGCTCTACCAACTGAGCTATGCGAGCTGACATATACTGGGCTTCAGTCCTCGTTAAATTACTTTCTGATGGGTGGAAGCAAGCATGTCTCCGGCACCACAATATCGAGTACAGATAGTGCCACAACGACCTGCATGGCCTTACATACATCTCGCCAGAAATCATCAACTTTTTAAATGCCAGAGCAGATATATTTGTCCCTGTGCATGTCTGCAAAAGAATGGGTATATCGACTTCAAAGAAAACCCAAATCTGGCAACCTCCCCGGGGACAATGTGTCCCAACATGAATTCTACGACTATGGCTACAACTTCACGAAGCACAGACGCTGATGGCGACACAGTAATTGAGACCTAACCCCCCCTAAGGCAGATAACTATGAGCCCCAAGAAGA